ATTACGCATGTGACGAAACGTCCGGGATAATTTCATTCATTGGAAACTAAATTTAATGGGAAAATTGGCGCATTTCGATTTTCTTGCGTCTTACTCTGACAATATCTTCGCAGGGAGGGGAGACAGAGGAAAATGTCGAATGACTTTTTTGTTGGAAATTTCATAAGATGCAAAAAATGTCAATGACTTTTTCCGGTAAATCCAGTAGTTTATGAGATACTCGGGGAATAGTCGTGATAGAATTTCCAGTTTTTTCACGGTTTCGTGATTATTGGAAGTGAATATCCGAAGTCATCGCGATTATTCTCCACAGCGAGGAGGTCTACAGAAAATGTGAAGAGGAGTTTTTTCTTGAAAATTTCATCGCCTGCAAAAAATGTTCATAACATTTTCCGGTACATCCAGCGGTTGTTGAGATATACGAGAAATAGTCTCGACGAAAATCCGAATTTTCTCCGATTTCGCGATTCATTCAAATTGAATATCTGGGGCTGTAGCGCCGATATCTCCAGAAGAGCGAATTTTAGCCAAAAAAGTGAAAAGATTATTTTTCCCCAAAATTTCCCGGACAACAAAATATATTGATAACATTTTGCGTTAAATCCAGCAGTTTGCGAAATAATCTGGAAATATTTCCTCCATAATTCCCACTTGTCTCCTCGATATATTCGACTTGAATTTCGGAGTCTCGACGAATATTCAACCTTTCACGAGTTGTTCACGCAAAAACACGTTCTTCGATTTAGCCGAATAGGTGTTGACCTTGTTCCCCCGGAATTTCGGGTATTTACGACACGTATTCGTATTTGTATTCGTTAAACTCGTGAGTTTTCGAGCGTTAGAGAACCGTTACGTCTTTATTATCGGAATATTCTCGAGATAAACAAGAGGCCTCTGGCTATTAAATTCCCGAATCAAGAGTATTTCGAATAAAACGGACAACAACGCGGGGGTATACGAATCTCTCGGAACAAAAGCCCCTGGGATTTCTCTTGTGGCTCTCGTTCGTGGAAAGCTGAGACTTGAAATAAAATCGAATCCCGGACGCATACGCGTGTACGATATCCAAGATCATAACTTTCTCCGAATGGAACTTACGGTTTGAATTGCGCAAAACAGTTTTAAAAACGTGATTGCATTAACATCAGGAAACAAAGAGCCTATTTGTTGTACTCACGGTTTTATCAACAACAAATAAATACTTCTGTGAATTTTCACTTTCATAAACAAATATATTCATAAAATTTGTCAAAACAAAAGTGATGAACATAAATTCATTATTTTAATTAAATTGATCGATTCAGTTAACGATTTCCGATTAAGACCTATTTTTATAATGAGATGTGCGTTAACTTTTCTGTTATCTCTTCGCTTTTGAAGTTCGTCATGTTATTCGAGTTGTTAATTGGATTATTTATTAGTGAATGTTACGAGTGCTTGTGAAATTAATTGTTTGAATTGAATGAAGTAATTAAAATAACAAGGTAAATTGAAAGATCAAAATGATTAGACAAAACAGTCGGATCTCCCAGAAGCAACTTTCAGAATTAATTCTACAAGTTTAATCGCCGATGTTTGATATATTGGGGGATTTGATATGCATTCGAAAGTCTAGATTTGAAAGATTAAATCTTAGCCTTCAACAATTCCCAATCCTGTGTTTAAACCTGTTCAACAACTAATTGAACTCAATTCGTCGGAAAGAAATAATTAAAATGTCAAATAAATTATTTAAGACAGCTAGCAACAGGCTCGAAAAAAATTCAGCGGAATCGACTAGAAATTTGAATTCTTTTCGTACTGATTTATCGTAACCATTTGTCATATATTTATCTGAACTCACGGTTGTCAGTAAAAAATCTTAACAATTACCTTTATGTAAAGAATTTCGCCGCAGGGGGGTAATTACCGGTCGCGCCATTCGCCGAGAATTGCGAGAGACTTTCTCTCCCAAATGTCAACGGTTTCTCTCCCCATGTATTTTTTTTTTGTTTCTCGTTTTCGCTTTTTTCATTCAAATTTCCACGGGTTGTAATTCAACTTCTCGTAGGGACGGGGCCTTGGGACGACAAAGGGCCCTTTTGTTGATACGAATTTCTGTTCCAGGTGCTGCAAGGAGAATGAAGATTAGGGGATTTATGGAGTTTTGGGGGTTCTTTTTGGCGCGGACATTTTCTTTGGTTATCTAGCTGTATGAGTATCATTTTAGACGTCATAAAGCTAGGTTACCGGAGTTAAGATCCTCGCCATATCAACGACGATCAATTTTTATTGCTGCAAGGGATCGACCTAGTGTACCTTCTGTTCCAGGATTCCATCACTCTTCAAACAATTCGTCCACATTTTGTCCACACAATGCCCTAAAATAAAAAATTCAATGCATCAATTTTTTCATCAATTAAACCAAATTTACTGAATTGTACAATTTATTTCGTTTCTCCGATTTATGAAGTAAAGATCCCTCATTAAATCCTATTCCCAATCAAATATGTATAACATATTGTAAAAAATGACTGAACATATATATTTTATTATAAATGATTGATACTGTTCCGTAATGTTCTTTTATGTCAAGATGAATAATAAATAATTGATGAAAATTGCTGGTGAATCAAATGAACTGGATTGATTAATTAATGGAATGCCTGTAATTATGCTTAATTACGTGGATTGTTGGATTTTGTCGTTTTAATTATTCCTTCGGCTGTGAATAACTCAGGGACACTGTAATTGTAATCAATTTAATGAGCGGAATTTTGATAAATCCATGGGAATTTTCTAATGACAATAGAAGAGGTTTTTTAACATGTTCACTGTCTTCGTTGCTTCCTCGATGGTTTTGTAGACCCTGGGGAGGAATGTTAATAACTTTTTAGGTGAATACACGGTGCGTGACGATTGGACTGTTCCCACAATGTTACCGGCTCCTGGATTATTTCATAATCACGGGGGAATATGCAAGATTTTTTGAGGGGACGCATTTTCCTGGGGGTCGACCAGGAATCATGGAAAATAATTATTGCTCTCCTATTTCATTGGAAAAGAAAATTTCAAGAGTTGCGAATTCCCATTTTTCTGTCTCTGAGACAATTTTTTTTTTATTTTTGAGATAATTCGAATTATTCATCACAATTTTGGGAAATGTGGGACGTGGATAAGTCGATCCATCCTGATAAATATCGGTCTGAAGGGGAAACTATAGAGAACTTTTTTAAAGTTTTTCAAGTTCCTGATAAAAAAGGTCTTCTGACCATTTGTTGCAAATGCGATAGTTTTTGAGATTCAGCATTATTTCACTGCACTGGAATTTGAGGTATCGAGTTTTAGGGTTTGTCCAGGGAATTAAAAGGGCTGAACCCTTGAAAATTTCGGGCAATCGATATAAAATCGATTTACACATGTAAAAGAATGTTTTACGGTTCCGATGGAACGATTTTTATAATGAGGAACTGATCGCTCGTAATTCAGCAGCGAAGTGATAGATCGCGATAAGCTGGATTTATCATCCTTACTAATAATACATTTATTTACAAAACTATCGATTTCAGGCGGAAACGCCATGAGACTTTTTTGTAGTCGATTAAATTCCAAGCAAAAAATTTCTTTTGATATTTCCTCGTACAATCAATACTTCTCGAGGTCTATCGATATTTGTCAGAACAGTTCAACTTCGGAGAATGACTCGTTGTCGAGATAATTAGCTGGAATTTAAATTAAATCACACTAATTAAACGAATTATCCCACCTCTCAGAATATTTGAATTAATCCATTTTTACCGAGGGAGTGATTATTTGAAAAGTCTTAGAGGGCGACACCGACTGAACTGAATTTTCAAATTGTTCCTGGTAGTTGTCAAAGCAGAAATCGTGGAAAATTCGAGAATCATTCTGAGTCATTTCAAATTTCTCTGACTCAGCAGTGACTCGAGATAGAATTCTCTATGAAATAACCATTTCAATGGAAATGCAAATGTTCGTTTTAAAAGAAAAATTCTAGACTCTTCTCGACTGTTCTAGACTAAAGTCTATGAATGGATATCGATTGCCTGTGGAGGAGGTCCGCCCCTCTACTATACCATTTGCATAATAACCCATATTTTATTCAATCGTAATTATTTAATTTACCACTGCAATTATTCTTTAGAAAAAATAAATATTACTTGTAGACAGAAGACAAAAACCAATAAAAAATTTTTTTTTTGACTTCCTCAATTGAAAATTGAAAAAAAAAATTTGATAACGATTTTTTAATAACTAATTGAGGATCATCGAGCAGTCATTGCATAAAAAATATTCAGAAACGACGAGAAATTTTCTTTACGAATTCACTGATTTAAAACTAATAATAAAATAATGCTGGCACTCAAATTTATTAAAAAATCATTGATCTGCAGATATCAAAAAGCAATTTCAGGTATGACTGATGCAATTTTGCATAAAAAAAAAAATTTCCCCCCAAAACGGCATCAACTTCCAAAATTAATTTCCCAAAACGTGAATCCCAAAGATAATTTCAAACCTCAATGAAATAAAAAACATTCATCACCTCCAGTGGCTTTCCATATCGAATTTCTCTCCTCGCCATTGAATCTCAAAATTCGAAATTTCCAAAAATCATGTAAAATTCACGGCGAAAAGAAATAAAAATGCAATTGACATGTATATAATGCAATGCAGAGTAAGCGTACGTAACGTGCGAGAGATGTTTCCAGAACATGTGTCTAACAAATTCCGGAAGTGACGGGCTGATCAGGCGTTCAACTAAAAATAATTCGGACTTTATTATAGATTTCCAAAAGATTTCAAAAAAATATAATCACGAGTTCATGGATTTTTTGGATCGTTTTAGTCAGATGGGATTGATGCGGAAATGAAAATCATGGAAAATCAATGGCTTTTCTAGAGGATTTTTGAGCGGAAGTCGGTGGTGAAAAGCCTCGAGGAACTTCTAGAATGTTCTAGAACATTCGAGAATCGGTGAGAGTATATAAAGGCCTCGGGGAATTGGCGCGGAGCTATAGAAGCAATCCAAATACCGGCGAGAGCATTTCGTTGCTGATCACCAGAGAACATCGCTTTGCATTCTTTGAATAGTGTCACCGAACAAAGTGAGTGCATTTTTTAATTATTCCCTCATTATTCGCTTCAGTTTTCCCCCTATTTCTCAATTTATTTAATTTTATTTAATTTTCGTTGTGCGAGGAAATTGAATGTCTGGGACGAAGGAAAATCGATAGTCTTATTTTTTTGGTTATCCCACAAGTGATTTAATCCACTATAGAACGATTTTTATTAATCAAATCGACTTTCTATTATTTATTTTACTAGTTTTTTTTGTTTATCATCTGTTTTTTCATTTGGTTAGAATTTTTCTCTTGATTCCTGACATTTTCCTGCTTTTAGAAGAAGAAAAGAAATTAATTGATTATTCGAGCTAATTAACGATTGGGTAAATTGAAAAATTTTTTTTTCAGTATTTGAATAAGTGGAAATATTGTCTATAAATAACGCGAAAACAATTATACATCCTTTCATTTTGTAAAAATGAAATTTCGATATCTTTCAGATGCCTGAGGAGATGGAGACAACTGGGGAGGTGGAGACTTTCGCCTTCCAGGCTGAAATAGCCCAGTTGATGTCCCTCATCATCAACACCTTCTACTCGAACAAGGAGATATTCCTTCGAGAGTTGATCTCGAACTCGAGTGATGCCTTGGACAAGATTCGCTACGAGTCGCTGACAGACCCCACTAAATTAGACAGTGGAAAGGACCTGTCGATCAAGATAATTCCCAACAAGAATGACCGCACCTTGACGATCATCGACACTGGAATTGGCATGACCAAGGCCGACCTGGTGAACAACTTGGGAACAATCGCCAAGTCTGGTACCAAGGCATTCATGGAGGCCCTGCAGGCAGGTGCTGACATTTCCATGATTGGGCAATTTGGTGTTGGTTTCTACTCTGCGTACCTCATCGCTGACAAAGTCACAGTCGTCTCGAAGCACAATGACGACGAGCAGTACCTGTGGGAGTCCTCAGCTGGTGGATCCTTCACTGTTCGTCCAGATCCCGGTGAGCCCCTGGGGAGAGGAACAAAAATTGTTCTCCACATAAAGGAGGACCAGTCCGAGTACCTGGAGGAGGCCAAGATCAAGGAGATCGTGAAGAAGCACTCGCAATTCATTGGCTATCCCATTAAACTCGTTGTCCAGAAGGAGAGGGAGAAGGAGCTCAGCGATGACGAGGATGAGGCAGAGACCGAGGAGAAAAAGGAGGAGGAGGATGGAAAGCCCAAGATTGAGGATGTTGGAGAGGACGAGGAGTCTGAGGACAAGGAAAAAAAGAAGAAGAAGAAGACCATCAAGGAGAAGTACGAGGAGGACGAGGAGCTCAATAAGACTAAACCCATTTGGACCAGGAATCCCGATGATATCACCCAGGAGGAGTACGGCGAATTCTACAAATCTCTGACAAACGACTGGGAGGATCACCTTGCTGTGAAGCACTTCTCGGTGGAGGGACAACTGGAGTTCCGAGCTCTTCTGTTCGTTCCTCGTCGCATGCCATTCGACCTCTTTGAAAACAAAAAGCGCAAGAACAATATAAAATTGTACGTCCGACGAGTTTTTATTATGGACAACTGCGAGGAACTCATCCCTGAGTACTTGAACTTCATGAAGGGAGTTGTGGACTCTGAGGATCTGCCCTTGAATATCTCCCGAGAGATGCTCCAACAGAATAAAATTCTCAAAGTAATCAGGAAGAATCTCGTGAAGAAGTGCTTGGAGCTGTTCGAGGAGTTAACAGAGGACAAGGAGAACTTCAAGAAGTTCTACGAGCAGTTCAGCAAGAACATCAAGCTGGGTATCCATGAGGACAGCACCAACAGGAGCAAATTGGCTGATCTCTTGAGGTATCACACATCAGCCTCTGGTGAAGAGGTTTGCTCCCTCAAGGAGTACGTAGCCAGGATGAAGGAGAATCAGAAGCACATTTACTACATCACTGGTGAATCCAAGGAGCAGGTGGCAAACTCCTCATTTGTCGAGCGTGTGAAGAAGCGAGGCTTCGAGGTGGTTTACATGACAGAACCAATCGACGAGTATGTCGTCCAGCAGATGAAGGAGTTCGATGGAAAACAGTTGGTGTCTGTGACCAAAGAGGGTCTGGAGCTCCCTGAGGACGAGGCTGAGAAGAAGAAGAGGGAGGAGGACAAGGCCAAATTCGAGGAGCTCTGCAAGACCATGAAGACTATTCTCGATCAGAAAGTGGAGAAGGTTGTGGTGTCAAATCGTCTGGTCGACTCACCCTGCTGCATTGTCACGTCGCAGTATGGGTGGACAGCAAATATGGAGAGGATTATGAAGGCTCAGGCCCTCAGGGACACCTCCACCATGGGCTACATGGCAGCGAAAAAACATCTGGAGATCAATCCTGATCATCCAGTCATCGAGACCCTTAGGCAGAAGGCTGAGGCTGACAAGAATGACAAATCTGTCAAGGATCTTGTGGTTCTTCTATTCGAGACTGCTCTTCTCTCATCTGGCTTCACACTTGATGAGCCTCAGGTTCATGCTGCTCGTATCTACAGGATGGTCAAGCTCGGTCTTGGAATCGATGAAGAGGATCCTATCCCTGAGGAAATCAAGGTCGAGGATGCTCCTGCCATAAAGGGCGAGAGCGAGGATGCCTCCAGGATGGAGGAGGTTGATTAGAGAGTCAGACTTTTGGGGGCTTAAACCACGTTTTATGTGGTTAATCATTATTAAGTGATTCGATTTAAGATTTAGGTTGTTAAATCATTCCCCGTAGGTGTTCTCTCTTTTTTTTATTCATCCGGAAAGTCATACCAAATGCATTTTTATTTGTAGGCCATAAATTTGTCATAAATTTCGAGTAATAAATATGGTATTAATTATAATGGTATTCTTTATTTCTACATTTTAGGTCCAATCTAACTCTTTGTAAAAATTCATTCATTTATTTCTATATTTACAATTTACATTGAATTATTCAGCAGTGAAATGAAAAAATGTCGATTTTTTTTTCTTGTGCGGTCCATTGGACTTGACAATTTTTTTTTGCAATAGAATCCTCAGCATTTAATTGAAAACTTGAGAGGAAAGAGTACGATTTTAGTACTGAATTTGAAATTCAATGGATGGTGTGAGGAATTACGATTTATTCCTCCAGCAGAAGCTGGAAGCAGCTCTCGAAGGTGGTTAATGCTGGTGGCACTCCAGCCAGCTGACTCCAGAGGGCAACAGCATAAGGAATATGTTTCCCCTCCATTAGTTTTTTTATTAAAATCCTCATGTTTGGCTCGAGTTCAGGTAAATCATGATTGCAAAACATCTGCTCGAGGATTTTATCGTAGACATGATGATGAGGAGGAAATGATGATGTCAGGTTCTTGAAGAATACCTCCTCTAGGATGGGGAGGGAAAATTCCGATAGGCTCGACGACTTCATTAAATCCAGGGCTTCCTGATGAAGCACTGCATTGCCCGAGGACAATCGGAGGAGAATTTTTTCTTCCAAACTGCAAGATTCGTCGAATTTTTTTATGAATTCGTGAAGAACCTGAAGAGGATAAAAGAAAATGAATCAATGCAACTCTGCAATTCAATCGCAGACGTTTAGATTTAAAAAATTATTGCAGTTTTGATAATTTAAAAGATGATTTAAAAATTTCACCTCCTCAGGGACTGACGGCCCTTTCAAAAGGTCCCTGTACTCCTCCAGGACGATGTTTTCCCCTCCCTTTTTCGCGCCAAAAATTCTATTGACTCTCTCCAAAACCCTCAGAACCGGATTATTCTCAACCGCAACGAACTGAGAGTCTCCGAAGGTGGGCCACCTCTTCAGCACCTCTTTGACCTTGAAATAATCCTCCCTGCTCTCCATATTACTGAATAAATCCCCGAAAATCTTAAATCTCTCCTCTTCCGTCGAGTCATCGACAATCGGAATGTCTTCACTCCCACTCATCCCTGTAGACTTGGATTCCTTCTGGAGGATTACTCCCTCTTCCTCTGGAAAATCCCCCCAGTCGCCCCACTCTACTTCCTCCTCCCAGTTTTGATCTCCAGATGATTCCACGGATTTAATTCTCTCTGCGAAATTATCGGTTCGTTCCTCCCCTTGAATTTCATTTTTCCCTTCCATCGCTTCTTCTTCAGCTCTCGTCTTCCCTTTATCATCTGTATCTCCATCCTCAGGCCAGGCCTTACCCCAGGTGTCATCATCCCCCCATCCTTCATTCTCGTACTTTTCCAATTTTTCTTCAATCCTTCGGGATTCCTCCAATGGTTTTATTTCCCCACATTTTTTATCTTGTAAAATTATCTCATCAACCTCATCCTCTTGTTTTAATCTTCCAGTCTCACAAATGATGTCCTCATCCTTGAATTCAGCATCCCCCCAGGCCCCCTCATCCTCATCTCCGACAAGGAATCCGTCAGCCTCATGATTTCTCTCCTTTTCCTCTCCATTTTTCTCTCCTCTTTCATTTCCCTCGATTTTACCGTCCGCAGAAAAATCGTCACCCCACGGATCATCCCCCCAGTCCTGGATAGTATCAACAACCGGACAAATGTCCTCATTAATTTTTTCCGTTTTCGATTCCCCTAAATTCTCTCTCTCCCTTTTATCCACCTTCTCCTCCTCAGGTTCAGGATCAGGATCTTCGGTGTTCTCGTCACGTAAACTCCGTCCCCACGAGATGATTTCTTTGGCTACGTCGTCTTCATGTCCCTCCGCTTCCAGGAGGGCGGCACCAACGACCTCGATAGGGTCATAGAGAAGACTGAGACCCTCAGAGAATTTGTCTTTGAGTATCTGGAGTCCATAATAATAGACAATCCCCTGTACAATCATCTCACTCCTCTTCACACCCTTGAATACCTCTTGGACATTCCCCAGGAGGTCCCCCCCGCACGCCAACAAATAAGAAAAACCGAGAGCCCAGTCGTCATTGAGAACATGCCTGGAGCACTCGACGAAGAAATGCCTGACGTCAGATACCTCCAGGCCATAGCACGCAGTTTCACTGAGTAGTGCCACCCTGACGAGTGTCTGGCACATTCTCAACCTGGTGTTATCCCCATTGGGTCGAGTGTACTTGGAGTACCTCGTGTCGATTCTACTGACGAGACAATTTTCATGCAGCGTTTGATAGAAGAAGGGAAAGCTCTGGAGAACGCCCCGGTATCTCTCGAGGGTGGCGTCCTCATCAACGTCGTACGTGTCCTCGAAGACGTCCTCTTTAATCCTGAGAGCACTCCTGATAATCCCAAGGGACTGATTAAAAATTTGCGCTGAATTCTTAACGATTCCAGTTGACGTCTCCAGGATCTTCGGTACGAACTCTTTAACCTCGACTTGGGGAGTGGTCACAGCATCCCTGAAGTCGTCCTCAGGGTCACTGTCGTCGTTTCCCGGATCGTCAGCAAAGGTATGAACCCAGGTTTCCAGGTCTTTATTCAAAAGTTGAATTTCTATGAGATGAACCTCCCTGAGGGATTCCTCTAGGATATCCAGGGGCCCGTGAGTAATGGCGAACCAGAAGGCTCTCCTCCTGAGGACGAGATCGGGATACCCCTCGCAGGACGCCAACCTGTGGACGACCTCCCAGGCAGGGGAGTAACTGTTGTCCATAATTTTTTTACAAGTGGAGGCGCAGACACTCAAATCTCCCACGTCCAGGGCCTTCTTGGCGATCAGTGCGAGGACCTTGCCATTCCGGTGTTTCTGGTCCACGTGGAGGTACGACGAGAGGGTGAGAAGCCTCTGCTGGCGCTTGTACGCACCCTCACAGCTGTCCAAACATTTCTGGATGAGCTTCAACTTATCCTGGGAGATTCTCACCTGCAGGGGAAGAATATTCAGGCTGAACTCGTCGAGAACCTGAAGGGCATTGATGAGGTCGAACTCCCCCTGGATCTGCTTGTCCTCTTCATCGATTAGGTTGAGACAGGCCTTGGCGAGGTCCATCGTCGGATCGTGGAGGCTCTTCGAGGCGTTGAAGTACTCCCTAGCTGCATCCACCACCAGTTCTACCGCCCTGGGGTATGATATCTTCAGGAACGAGCCCTCCTTTTTCTTCGTTTCTATCAACGACACACAGTCCTGAATACTCGACTTCACTCCGGAGGACAATTTCATGGAGACGACGATCTCAAAACATTTCTCTGGATCGATGCAGGTGAATATCAAACCCTGGACTTGAAGGATGTCATTTAACAATTCTGTCCAGACCTCCTGGGGAGCAGAACCTCTTTCCTTCAGGGATTTCGCCATTTCCTCGAAGACGAGCCTCACCTCATCAGGATTTTCCTTATTTTCATTTATGAATTTAATAGTTGATCTCACGTGGTACTTATTAAGAATCTTCAAACACTCGAGCTCTTTCTCGAGGTCGTCCAGAGGGTTATCCCCCCTAGAGGAGTCTTTGGCACTTGAATGTGGCCTTGAGACAGCCTCGAGGATTTCTCTGGCCCTCTGATACATCTCAGGATCCACACAGGAGTGAATGCAGTCGAGGGCTAGGAGCATGACGTCATCGATGGCCTCGAGAACTCTGGGCTCTTGACCAAGAGAGTGAAACAAAATCGATGGCAATGTCAGGTCATTCTCACTCAAGCCCACCAGGTATTCCTTGAAGAGATGCCTCTCCAGTGGGATCTCCAGGTACTCCCGTCGCCTCCAGAGAAAAGGGAGGACATAATGTGTGATGTCGTGAATGAACCTCCCCTCCGAGGTTCTCCCCATTATCATCTGGAGCTTCTGCAGGTCCGAGAGCTTTTCCAGTTGCGTAAGAGATGTATCCTCGAGGCAGATCTTGTAGACGAGATCATTGAGGGTCTCTAGCTCCACCAGCAGCTCCTCGAGCCCCTCAATCCTGTGGGATTTCCCTATTTTCACTAGCTCCAGGGCATTCTCCACGATGCATGAATCTCGTTCGATCTGTTTCGCCCTGGATGTGTACCATTTGGTCAGCAAATTCATCGTTAATTCAGTATTTCTGTAAGGGGATAAGGAAGGATCATCCTCGTAGACGAGTTCTGTCTCCTCCCTGGAGTCATTCAAAAAAATCTCCTCGAACTGAGACATCTCGGACCAGTCCCTGGGCCTCAGCTCCTTTTGATAAAGCAAATAGAGTTGACCCTCGGTATCACACTCCGGTAAAAGTTTCTTGTACTCCAGAGGACTCAGAGTCTCTGGAAAACAGCTGATAACTGCCAGCCAGTGGGGCACTAACTTTCCTCCGTGATATGTCAGCATGATCTCGACAGCTTTATAATCGCAGTCCCTCGCGAATTTCACAGCATTCTCGAGGATCGAGAGCCTTCGGAATTTCTCGTAGAAATCTTTTCTGTATGTGCCCCCGTCTAAGATAATCTCGTACGTCTTGAGTTTGTCCAGGTGATCCAGGAGCTGTCGTCTGTAGGTAATGAGCTCCTTCTGGGCATCGGTAAGCTCACCCAGCCCCTTTAACAAGTCATTGATTCTCTGGGCTTGTTTCAGGGTGCTGGAGTCTTGATTCAACTCCACCAGCTCCTGGTTGTCCTCGTCGTCTAGGAGTTTTCCATCGTCGTGGCTGGAAATCGAGAGAAGTGTCTCGAGATTAGCCCCTCGAAGTCCGAAATTCAGGAGTTCCTGGGCTGCTTCCAGGGTTTCTGGCACCCTGGAGATACACTCGTTGAGAACCCACGACCTCTTCGAGACCTTCGCCAAGTGGTCGTTAATGGCCTCCAGTGAGAACTCTGACTTTCTCCACTGGGTCTGGTACACCAAGTCCTTGTCGAGGTTGTAAGTGCATGCTAGGCTCAGGGCGCCCTCGTACTCCTCGATGTCGATTTTTCTGGCGTAGAGTTCCTCTGGTGTTGTGCTACGCAGCCCGAGGACCCGGTAAGTCCTCTGAAGGACCCTCGACTTCTTTCTCTTAGGCTGGAATCTCTCGATATCCGTTACAAAGTAGATAAACGATTTAATCAGATTGATGGAATAATCCAGGAGACCTGTGGGCTCGAGCTCCTCCTCCAGGTCACTCTCCTCAAGGTCGGACGCCGATCCATCGTGACTCGGAGTACGCTGTCTTTTTTTACTCGTCAGTGTTTCGCAGTCTAGGGCGAGAAAACCCTTTCCAGAGTAGAATTCGGAAATCTGAGGCTGGCCTGAGAGAAATTCAGGGCTCGCACCCAGGAGATTCTTGAGTGTTGACATAGAGCAGACGGAGATAGCTCCTGAGTACCTGGCAATTATAATTGCGTGATCTGACCACCAGCCGATATCCACGGGGTGAAAGTCCGAGGGATCCTTCGAGTGTTTTCGAGGTTTTCTGAGCCCCGGGTTCTGGGCGTCATATCCAGGTTGATCAGGAAGGCTCCATTTTTTTCTGAGCCTCAGGGAGGGCAGGTCCCAGAGGGAGATAGAGCCGTCAGTGTGCAGGCAAATCAGGTGACAGCAGCTCGGGGAAATGGATATCCTGAAGATCACTGGAGCAGGGGGAGAGCGAAACGATGGAATCAGGTGCCAGAGGGACAGAGCCGAGGGGGAGTTCTCCTCAAAGGTGACTGACAATTTGTAAAAAGGATAATCGTCCAGGGGACGCCAGGACGTCAGACCACTGCTCGCTGCAGGTGAGGCTAAATGACTCTGCGTTATGCAGTTACCAGCGACGATGAAGAGGTTGTGCTTCTTTGAGTAGGCGAATGCGTTCACTCCCTTTCGAAAAAAATTTCCGAAGGAGAACTCGTAGTTGTATTTGAATCCATGGCTGCCTGAGATGCTGTAGGACTTCAGGAGGCCACTGTAGGTCACCACCAGGAGCTCGTGAGACCATTTGTCCTCTCGTGGAGGTCGGAATAACAGGGAGGAGATGGCGTCACCTGCCTCCAGGATGTCCGGCGGCTGCGAGGGGGTTTTCGAAGCGATCGTGAAGATATTATTCCCCAGGGAGTTGTAGAAGGAGAGACTTCCGTTGCTCCAGGCTAGCACCAGCAGTGAACCATCTGGACTCCAGGAGAGACGACGCCACTGTGGAAATGCGTCTTTCGGCACTGTCGCCTTCGAGATCACTGAGGAAAACTCGTCCTTTGATTTACGAATCTCCAGGGAGGTCTCCTGGAGAAGTGCCAGGAGACGACCGTTTGTGTCGATCGAGAATTTCCAGGGGAGTGCAAGGCTGATCTGCTGGGAAATCGATTCTGGAAGGGAGTAACGGTTGTTCAGATAGCGCAGAGCATTTTTTATTGTTCCTGGGGTAGACAGGATCGCTGCATCATTCTTCCATTTCTAGGGGGAATGAGTTTTCGGTTATTTCGAGGAGAAAAACTGGTGAAAATGGATTTCCAGAAATATATATTTTTAATTTCATTCAATTGATAATTTTTCGTATGAAAAATCTTTTTTTTTATTAATATATGCCTGGATTTTTAATTGATGAGCTGAGAAAATTGATTGCAGTAAAAATTGAAAAATCTATCTATTATTGCTATTGTCATAACAATTCATGACAGATGACATCTGGATGATTCGACAATCAGAAAAGAAGAAAGAACTCACTATGAGCTCTGGCTCCTGCTTTTTAACGAAGTACTCCAGAAGTTCGTAGAGAATCGAATCGTCCTCGATGTCCTCAAGACCCTCCATTATTTATTATTTCTAACTAATTATTATTTATCTACAAACACTACGAGGCCACATAACCTCTGGGTTTTTGGTGTTCTGCTGTCTCAGATATCAGTGGAAATTCCCCTTTAGTTGAACCATATGATCATGTTTACCGGTGCCCCGTGGAATTTCACTCGACTTCTACTGACTTTCAATAATAAAATAACAATTGTTTAGATTAATCTCCAGAATGTCAATACTCCTGAAAAAATCGGCAAAGTTTATGTTTATTCATTGGACTCGGTGGTCTCGACTGTCAGTCAAATACTCCACTAAGGCTGAAAACGTTGATAAGAACAAATACACAAATACTGTTTTACTGCCTCAAACGAAATTTCCTCTGAGATTAAATGGCACTCAGAGGGTGGAGATGGATAATTACTTACTTAAAGTAAGTAATCTAATTATTCCATTAATGAAAAACAGCTTTTCACTTTCTCTCAGTATTCTCGTAAAATTCAATTGTCCAACGACAACAATCTCAATTTTATACCTTTTCCTACAATTATAATCTCGTTTCTCAGAAATGCGGATTCTCAGATCTCTACAATTGGCAGAGATCGAATCTGTCACCTCCGGACTTCACCCTGCACGATGGACCCCCCTACGCGAATGGTGTCCCTCACCTGGGACACGCAGTCAACAAAATCCTGAAAGACATCACCCTGCGCTGTCGAGTGATCCGAGGTGAAAGGGTGCACTACACCCCAGGGTGGGATTGTCACGGTCTTCCAATCGAGCAGAAGGTTCTATCGACCCCTAAAAATCGTTCCCTCCCAGTCCCAGAGCTGCGTTCCCTGGCTCGAAGATACGCCCTGGAGCAACTGGAGACCCAAAAGAAGGGGTTCGCTTCTTGGGGAGTGATGGCTGACTGGACATCATGCTATCTCACCCAGGACCCCTCATACATAAAAAACCAGCTGCAACAATTCTTCAATCTTTACTCGAAAGGATTGATCTTTAGGGATTTCAAGCCAGTGCACTGGTCCCCATCCTCAGGAACAGCTCTGGCAGAATCAGAGCTGGAGTACAATGAGAATCACAAGAGCAGATGCGCGACAATTCGTCTGCGACTAACAAAAGTACCTCCAGTTCTTTCAACGTTCACCAAATCAATCTACGCCCTCACCTGGACAACTACCCCCTGGACCCTGCCCTCGAACCAGGCCCTGAGCATCTCCAAGGATATGTCATATTGCCTCTCAGATGCAGGAGAGGTCTTGTACATATGCTCCGAGGAGCTCTTGCCCTCGATCAGCGAAAAGTTGGGGCCCTTGCAAAAAATCCTCACTCTCTCTGGAGAGGATTTAAAACTCGCTGAGTATTCCCACCCCTTCTCGAGAGAATCTTTGCCTTTCCTGGAGAGCTCTCACGTCACTGATAAAATTGGAACTGGAATCGTGCACACAGCACCTGCCCATGGGAACGAGGACTTCCTGGTCGGTCTCGCCCATGGGATTTCTATCAAATCGTTGGTGAATGAGAAAGGAAAGTTCACCGAGGATTCTGGAGTCTTCGCAGGGCTCGAGGTCTTCGGGGAAGGAACTGCAGCTGTCCTGGAGCACCTCGGGGAAGACCTGGTGCACACTGAGGAGATCGTGCACAGTTATCCTTATGACTGGCGGACGAAGAAGCCTGTAATCACTAGAGCCAGTTACCAGTGGTTTATTGACACCGAGGTCCTCAAGGAGAAGGCCCTCGAGGCTGTAGACACCGTGGAGTTCTTTCCAAGGGGCAAGGAGGCCATCTGCAGGGATTATTTGAAGCAGCAGATCAGCCGGAGGCCCTTCTGGTGCCTCTCCAGGCAACGAGCCTGGGGAACCCCCATTCCTGTTTTTTATAAGGGCTCTGGAGAAGTCGTCATCAATCAGGAGATTGTGCAGAGGGTTTGCCAGGTCTTTGAGGATAAGGGAGATGACTCCTGGTGGAATCTCGGTGTCGTGGAACTTCTTGGGGAGGAGATACTGACGAAGTACGAACTGAGGGAGGGCGATTTGGAGAAAGGACAAGATATCATGGATGTATGGTTCGATTCTGGGATTTCCTGGTCTCAGGTTCTCCCTGGAAAATCAGCTGATCTTTACCTCGAGGGGATGGATCAGTTCAATGGATGGTTTCATGCCTCTTTGGTGACTTCTGTTGCACTCCAGGGGCAGGCGCCCTTCAGGTGGCAATTATATTATTTTTTTTATTCAAAAATAAAACAAAAAATTCACGGTATTCGATAATAAATTCATTTGCAAATCCCCAGGTCGATTTTCGTGCACGGTTTCACGGTAGATAAAAACGGCCAGAAGATGTCGAAGTCCCTGGGGAACGTAATCAGCCCCGAGGACGTAATCCGGGGAAAAAAGAGCGATAAAAATGCCCTGGGTACTGATGTCCTTCGGTGGTGGGTGGCTAATCATGGAGTACAGCACATGCAGATACCAATCGTCAATGACGTTCTGAAGGAGAGCGCTGAAAGTGTCCAGAAGATCAGGGCTGTCCTGAGATTCCTCCTGGGAGCTCTCCACGAGGAGGATCTGGGGGGTGAGGCCAAGGCTGAGTACCTTCTGCTGGACAAATTTATGCTTCACAGGCTGTATCGCTTCAACAGAGAGGTCCAGGAATTCTACAACAAAATGCAGTACCATCACGCGGCCAGGACCATCCTTAGGTTCGTCAGCAATGACGTGTCCTCCTTGTATTGCCCTCTCGTCAAGGATAGGCTCTACTGCGAGAAAGCGAACAGTCCTCTCAGAATTGCAGCTGTTGACGTCGTCGATGATATTCTTACTGTCGTCACCAGGGCAGTCGCCCCTATTCTCCCTTTTCTCGCTGAAGAGGTCTGGCTTCACCATCCGGAGAACTTGACCTCCGTCAGTTTATACAGATCGACACCCTGTGATCCTCCAGGGGAGTGGGAGAATGAGGAGGTCGAGGAAGTCCTGGAGACTGCGTTGATGGTCAAGGGACTCGTCAATAAAATCGTCAAGGGGCACAGTCTGGAGATGGCAGGTCTCGTCAGGGTCGGAGGGCAATCATTCAAGAATTTATCGGTGAGTCATTGAAATGTAACAATTTTTCTAATTGGAGTTGAATTGTAATTTAATTCACATTGCATTGAAATTCAGTAGCAAAAAATGATAAAATTAATTTAATTACAGAAACTCCAGAGGGAAAGTACATCGGCAACCTCCGAACTATCAAACATCCTGCAGCTATCGTCCGTTATTCTAGTCGAAGACCCTTCATGCACGTCTCCAGAAATTGATGTTGTACCGATTGAATATTCATTATGCAAACGATGCAGAAAATTCCCAGAATCCCAATACGAGCTGTGCGTCAGATGTATACGTATTTTAAATGTCGATTCCAGTACGTGATCAATAAAGAGTTTTTAATTAAAAATTCCAGTCGTTGATGATTTATTTGGAAAAAAGTGGGTGAGGGAGTCAATAACTCACGTGTCTGCGCATTAAATAATTAATTCATTAAATTCAATACATTTTCTACAATACGTACAGTACATACATCGTCATATGCAATATAAGTTTTTTTACGATTCCCTTTTTATCGTTTTTATATAGTATTATATATTTTTTTTTTTCAGTCAGGCTTAGTGACCGTCGAGTGACATTAAGCCATGTTATTGTCTCACACATCTTATTTTTATTATTTCATCAGTAGTTATTAATTAAGCGGATCATAAAAACTACGAATTATCGAGAATCATCGATTACTCCATTCACAACGTAATTAACTTCAATAAAATCAAGACGCAATGATAAAAATTATATAACGATGAAAAATAAAATTCTCCACTATTATTTCTCTATTTTAAAACATCAGACACCACTCGGTGGCAAAAAAAAACAGAGAAAAATATTCGAATTATGAATTATTGTTAAAATGAAGTCAAAAGAAAATATTTCCATGAGGTTTCATCGTTACCCCCGAATCCCCCAATTTATTACCAAAAATACTATCCGCATCAGCGTATCATCAATTTATTATTCTCTCCATTATATTATATTTAGAAGCCTTTGGGTTATTATAATTAATAATGTTCATTAACCATTTCCACTCAACAATGGGGATGGGTAACTTCGAAGTTTCACAATAATGAAACGACGATGTATGAAAATAATTAGACGATAGTCTTCAAAAGTATTGTAATTATCTCTCCTACAGCACGCACGATTAAATAAATAATTAACACCCCCGTATCCGTAAAAACAACAAACAACTGAATAAATTACTTATTGCCAGTATTTATTATTCAAATGACGATCACTCGGTTAATATAATGTAGGAATTATTCAACCAATTTAATGTTTGGTTTAATCGAACTTCAGTGAGATATTACCCTCTCATTACTTCTCATTACTCAATTATCTAAGCAAAGTGGATGGACAATTATGCTGAATCTCTGATTTAATCGTGCGCACGTTCTTCGCATTTATCTATTATTTATTCAATGATTTTTATTGTCTTATGCACAATTAGAGTATCTGGAGCGTCAATAACGTCCCCCTAGTATTGACATATTGTAATCATGTAGAGTTATTTAAATACAGATATAACTACAGATATTCTGAGATAGTATTGTCATCAGTTTCATTATTCATTATATTAATTATTCTTACGAATTACTGATTATTTTACTGTTATCGTTATTATCAGTTTGATATGGCATAAGGGAGAGATATTTTTTGTTATTATTATTTTTTTTTTTCATATATCGATGATATTGGGGATGATATATTTATATTATCGTTCCAATATTGATAATCGTTCGAAATTATTAGTCATTTTAATTAGACGAATTAATTACTAGATAAATCCACTCAATTCGTTGATAACAAACCAAAAATCAACAATAATATCGGATTAGTCTCTCGAATTATAAATAAATCCACTGATTTCAATGAAATAATTAATTAGAATGGTAAATGCGGATTGAATAATTTAATTAATTAATGCGAATTGGTTGGTAATACAATCATCACAGAGAAGAGATCACAATGAATCTCATCGAACGGTATCAACTGTCAGCCCTCTTTACTCTCAATTATTGTTACTATTTATTCTCATTGATATTTCACCATTCTTAATATTTAATTTATGGAAATAGTTAAATCGAGAAAAGCGATTCAAATATCTGATATTTTTCTTCGTGATAAAATATACGGAGAAGACTATTACCTTGATAATTAATAACAATACTATAGATATATATCTTTGCTTTTTTTTTTTATAATGTATAATATGTGTATAATGAGGGAAAAATTATTGTCATGTTCACTTATTATCTAGTCTTTCTTTTGAGTTTCGCTAGCATCAATGGTTCCAGCTAATTTAGTCATTTGATTATTTTATTTAAGAGCATTGTCGATATTTTTCTGGGAAAGACAGGTCAGATTATCGAGATATTATTCACGATTAGATACTATAGTAACCCTGTCAGCAGGTTTTCAAAGTGTTTTAAATTATGGATCCTTAATTATTTTTGATAATTAGGACATTTTATGAGTCCTACACAAGGATTTGCCAATAAAAATTCACGTGCTAAAATTTATCATTAAAAAATCTTGCGCTTCCGTTGAATATTTCATTTCCATCGGACAAAAATTCAACATTCATAACTGAATTTAAAAAATATATATTTATTCGGTGCGTTTCAAATAAAAAATTAAATTAAACAAATGTAATAGAAAAAATTCTCATTAGAGGGAAAGAAAAATGAATTTTTTTTAATAGAAGATAGAATATCGGTGAATTTTTTGAGAGCGCAGGATTTTTTTATGCATTTTCTTGACGCGTGATTGCATTTTTCAAAAGGTTCAATATTTTTTCACTCGGCCCTTTGATAGTGGAAATTCCCCTCATAAAATTGATTAGTAATCTACAGTCTGAGAACTCGTGATTATCGAAAAATCTCGTCTCTTCGTGTTTTATTATCGAACTCGGGTGACAGACGTACGAGAATATCGATCGACTCTCGATCGTAACTTACGTAACATGTAATTAAGGGAAATCAATTGATATAATTAATAGCCTCATCAGGATATATTGGGAGCTCGTGGGTTCTGTTTTATTCCACTTGATTACCAATTGAAATTTTTCAACTAAATGTTTCGGCTGGAGAATTATTATGCGGGTGGTATCCCCAGTGGTGGATTATTTATCGCACCCACTCAACCACGTAACTCATTTTTTTAATTAAACTCCTCGTATTTGGATAATTAATATTGCACGAGTTGCCTGTTTGTAGTTCTCCGCTTCTAAATTAATGATTCTCCCCGACGTGGGATGCACGAGTATTGAGGAGAAACCGTGAAATGAGGAGGAAAGGTCATTTATTTCAGCTGCACTTATTTTGTGTAAAGAATTCTCCGGAGGGAAGAAAAATTAAATGAATTTTCTTGTGAATTCGTTGATGTTCAGATTTTATGTATGCATTCCTCCGCGAATATCTCGGGAAATATTCCATTCAGAGGAAAATGTCAGAAATTTTTTTTTACGAATAAATAAATTTCCTGTAAATTTGATTCATGCATTTTTTTTAATAAAACCAGAAGTTTCGGAGATATATGTCCAAGTAATTATCGGGTTGCAGTTGATTGATTATAAAAATAATGAAGGAATTTGCGAGCGGAAAGAGCCAGGCAAATTCTCTCAAGGGTTTGTTAAAATTTTTTTTTCTGTACAGGTCGTCCCGGGAATATCTCAGGAAATACTGAGTTTAGAGAAAAAATTCCCAAAATCATTTTTATAGAACATAAAATAATCTGTAACGGTTTTGGAGATATCAGCCGTTGAAGTGCGTTGGCGTATTATGTCTGACATTTCCCACTGATTCCACTTGAATCATAGATATTTCATAAAAAATCCATAAATCGACATTGAAGTTTTTTCCACCCACCAGGTTCGAGGTAATTAACTCGATTCCCTCCACCAATCTCCTCATTCCACTAATCTAAAGATAAACCGGATATGTTCGTAATTCCTAATTCATATCCATAAAAATTCCTCGAACATTATTCGAGCGAATTTGCAAAATCTCGAGTAACAGGTGAACAATAAAAGAGGAGTACCTGATTCTCGGGGAGAATCTTCAGATCGCCGTTGTAGAATTTTAGTTACCATTTAAACGGAGGGCAGTAGATTGCTTCTCTCGAAATCACTGCCACTGGATTATTGACGAATCATTGACTCTCTCTCGTAGTCATCGTTCCTCTGCAACCCAAATTTATCGAATATTTGATGAGTATTGGTTACGATTAGGATTTCAGTGGCAATTCATTGGGGGTGTGGAAATATTTACCAATAGTCCATCGTTCAAACTCGTTAAACGCGATAAATATTGGCCTGGTGGAAAATTGTAATTGACGCTCTTTGGTTCTTGGTATGATTGTACTGAATTCGGGTAATGCCTGTGGGCTTCTGATTCACTGCTTCTATCATTTTTGTTGAGTTCCCCTAGAGCCGCTGATCTCGCTGCTATTTCCTCAGCGATCCTCTGATCCTACAGGACGCATCGATTATCAATTTCACCATCAACATTTCGTTTCGAATTTGAAAGGGGAATATTTCGGAAATTGCCGAAATTCGCGGAAAATTTTCTACCCCTTTTTTTGGCATAAAATTTGATTCTCCCCAAAAAAATAATTCCACCATTTTCCTTTTTAAACCCTCTTCCTGCGAAGGGGGTTTAAAAAAAAATCCTCAGTAATTTCTGCAAACCCAAAAGTTATCGCATGGTAGATGAAAAACGATGAAAAAAAATAAAACAATAAACTAACTTGTAATTCACGTGCGCGTTCAGTACGAATGAGTTCCTTCAAATGCTGAAAACTTCCAGCCTGGGGTACCCGCGATATTGACGCACCACCGCCAACGCGAAAGTTGTATTGACGTCTTCGTTGATCCGGTGGCTGATGATTAACAGTTCCATACATACGTGCAACTTCCTCAAATGCTTTCATACGATTTGGCATTCCATTACGTAGTCTACCTTCAGCCGGAGCTTTGTGCACCATTTTACCGTAAACTGGAGCACGGCCTCCGCCTCTGTTGCGTGCCTGCTCCTCTGTATCTTCACAAACAAAGCAAATTAATTCAAACGTTAATCCCATAATGAAAATGCCATTGTTTTCAAATAAACGGAGAGACAAAGCACCAGGTAGGCCATGAAATCTTCATTAACAGCACAATTATCTCGAGAATTAGTCGCCCCCGGGGGGGAAATGTCAGAGGAATTTTTTGATGCTCATTACATTTCCCACAAAAAACTCCTCAGGAATTTTTCCCTCGCCTTATTAATTACCGAGTTATCTCGGGTGTTCGCGAGAAAAAAATGGAGAGGGTTCATGCTGGTGTTGGAGATCAGTTGTACCTCTGTAGCCGAATGAGAGCTGCGACCGGACGGGATAAGTCTCCCAAATATTGTAGGAAAATGGATCACGATACATTGGCAAATCATTGGTCGATTCAGCAGCTCTGCTCTGTCTCTTGCTGTATCTCCACATGGCCCTCAATTCCTCGCACGTTGGTTCAGGTTTATTTCGACGATCTCTGTATCCAACACGACTGATTACTGTGGTCTGTGGTGGCATTGGATAGTCGGCAAACCGCTGGCCACTCACTGTCATCATAATAAATCCACACGAGTGTAATAACAGCACCGTAATCAACCCCATTGTCACTCGCATCTGAAATGAAATTATCATTTTAATTAGACTGCCATTTCCCTGATTTTCGTTCTCTCTCACCTGTTCACGTGTATGATCGATTCTCACGGAGAATTTAATGTCCAGTCAGCCAGTGTAATTACGATATGTCGCTGGTGGATATGTACGGAATGAAAAATAGTGTCGTTACTGTAACAATTTTTTTAAAATAATTCTCATCAGGCATTGTATTGTCAATATCTCGGAGACTGTTGGGTTTAAATGTTGTCATTATCGAGATAATGGTGTCATTGACGATGGGGATTCACCTGCGCCGAGGGGAATAGGGGAAAGGTCAGCGATTATCAATAGCATAAATATCTCAAAATGGGTGGCCGTTGGGGACTATTGTGATATGACCTTTTTAGTCAGGAATTTCCTGGTCTAGAAAAAAGGTCTTATGGAATTCTGTCGTGAGTCTATTGGCTACCGAGATAATCGCTGAGGTGTTTGAATGCTGTGTTTATCACAATAAATCCTGTGGGCGTTTACTTGAAATGCACTCGATAAATTGTAGGAACTTACAAGATTTCAGTGGGTGGAAACAACTAATGATCACGAAAGCCCTTCAATTATTTCCACCCCAGCGTTTCCAATTTTCTGTGGGAATACGATTGTGCAATTTCCCAATGCTGTAAGCACAATATCCGCGGCAAACAAGAGATATATCCGATAGCAATAATTTGATTGAATCCCACGCACTGTGAGCACTTCTATTATTTAATGTCAACGAGTGGATCCATGACAAACACAATTCCCCGTTATTCGTCAATTTGTGGCATTAAAAAAATCATTTTGCCGTGAAATATTGTAATTATCAATTGAATTTAATTAAAGAAAAAAACATAAATGATGGCTATTTTTTTTAGATTTTTCCATTTTATATGTCAAATAAATAACATTCAGTAAATTCATGAGGGGTTGTACGCGTTTTACCGGACGATCCGGTATTACGGTATTTAAGTATTTTATTTTATGATTTCAATTTTATGATTTTAACACGATTGTGAAATATCGGTTTTAAATTTTCTTTTTATGTTGTACCAGCATTAATGTGCCGTCACGACATCAATCCAGAGGGATGTAAATATGATAGATAGGAGGGATGATCGAAATTTCATGTAAAATATTCTCCCCCATTAATCTATCTCACTCCGCGATTCCTCCAGTGTTTCATTTCCCCCGATAAATCACCCTGCACCCCAAAATTTATCTCATTTCCAGGGAACATGTACATTGAGTACATGTCGCGTGAAAAAATACTTCAATAATAGACTGAAGAATTTTAATCGATAGCTTGCGAATTTCTCTTTTCCTTCATTTTTGTCATTATGAAAACAAGAAGTTTACAAAATTTTGTCAGTGAAAAATTCTGGGGTTTAAATTACATTTGTCAAGGGATATCATCTTTTGGAAATACCTTTCTCGTGAATAAATATAAAAAATTCCTGGAAAATCCCTGGAAATTTATTTTCGAACCGAATTACTGGGAAATTATTTTGCCCAGTGGTTAATGGAGACATGAGTGTCGCAATAATCCCAGTTTAATCCCCGAAATCCCCAGTAAATCCCCGCAGGTTTCAAAAACCTCCCCCGACCTTGAACCCGAAAACCTCCATTCACAAACCCGAAAAACACTGCAACAAGTGCCACGTTCCCTCCCCTTCACATCTAAAAAAGCCCCGAAAACCCCTCAAAATGGCTGCTCCACCCCTTAACCCCTCCCCGCGAAACATTTAATCCCCGGTACGACGCATAAGACGATTAACGAAAATGTCGCACCACCCGAGGCCTCAACCCCAGGATTTCCACCCCGGAATAATGAATTCTTACGGGAATATCGCCCAAGACCCCCGGGAACCCGGGGGATCATCCTGGGAGGGTGGAGTGCGCTAAAACTAATCTTCCGGTTGACCTTTACGTAGGCACTTCCACCTCCATCTGTGTGACCTTTTTATTCTATCCCAGAACGAAATAAAAAAAAGCAATTAAACAAAACCCTCAAAATCGAGGGATTGATTCCCCCTCTCACCAGAAACTACACAACAAGTTTTCCCCTCGTTTTTTTGCAAAAATATTCAAAAAAAAAAACGATTACTCATTGAAGTAACTCCTAATATTTAAAAATTTTATAAATTTTCAAATAAATTGGCAATTCATACCTCAAAAACTTGGAAAATTTTCATAACAAGAAATAATAAAGAAATATAATAAATAAGTTTAACGAATGATTGAGCGAAAAATGCCCCGGTGATGTCTTCCACTAGATAAAAACCTCCCCATTGACTAATTCCACTGTTCCACTCCCCCTGATATCTCATTCACACTTCACACCCCGAGTTGATTCATAATTCGCGAATAAGGGAGTTGACCATTGGCGTAAATATACCTATGTATATGTACCTCGGGAATGAATGAACGAGTGAATGGCTGCCAAAGTCAATGGGCTAAAGACGTGGGTACACCGAGTGGGGGATGTTAAAGGGTAAATATAGAATGTGCATTTTCCACATAACGAGTGCACGACTACCAACTGAATTTCCAAATCAACGCGTTATCTCTATTATATTTTATGCGGAGCAACAATTTAAATAATTTAATAGAATAAATAAAATGTACTGACCAGCTTTGGTGGGTCGGCATCAGAGTCCGGAAACCATCAAGTCTGTGAACAAACTGACGTTCCCCATCGCTCTACCCCTGAGCCTTTCGCTGCTTCTCCACTAACGCCATCTCCTACACCACCACCACCTCGCCACCCCCTCCCCATCAACCCCCCCCTCAATGCCCTGGAGAAGTCTCGATGATCCTGACGATGTGATGACCCCAGGATCATCCACACCAATCATTTATCCCCTCAAATCCACCCCAGCCCTCTCGTAAAATCTACTTTTTCTCCGGGGGGATGATGTGAATTAAGTCCAGGACTCTCAATTCTCCTGGACCTGAAAAATCCTGGTCCCCAGGGTGCAGCCCCCACCCCCTCGTCCACCCTCCAATCGGGGTTCCCCTTATTTCAACGTCAGACCGAATGACGTAATACAAATACGTGTTCAACCCTTTGTGAAATGAAAAGACATCTCGAGGGCTTTCAGAGGTTTCTCCAGTCGTTTATTATCGATTCAGTGGCTTTTTTGGGGGTTCGGTGGGATGGGAATGGAGAGGTAATGGGGGGAGGGTGACTGGAGGATCTGGGGGAGATTTGAGGGATTTATGGAGAAAATCCTCAGCAGGAAGAGTTTGAGGGAGGAAAGAGGGAAATTAATGCAGATTCATGCAGTCGGTTTCTTCGGAATGATTTTCGGCAAACTCAAAATTAAATCCACATGTTACATTCCAGAACTATAAATCTATCCCACGTCTCCAGTTTTACGTGAAATTAAGGGCACGAAGAATACCCAGAATACAAGCACACCTACGCTATTTCTTGAGGTATTGGTGGGGGTTGGAGTGGAAGGGGTTGGAGAATGAAATTCTTGGGGATATTGTCGCGGAATTCCATTTGATTCTTACCAAAAACTTCCCCTAGTCCTCCCACCTCGTGTCCCAGTGCTGAGATAAATGTACCAGGGAGAGGAAAAGGGAGTGTTAACACACCCCCCACGCAATCGATAGGAAAGCCTACAGATTCTACTGAATGGACTGTACCATTTGTGTTCCTCTACTCCTACCCAACGGAGGGAAAACACCCCAACTCCACATTCGTATTGATTACTACGGCTTGAGGGGGATGCTCTATCGACCCAGCCCAGCTGTATACCGGTTCATTCATAAATCTTCAGTTTCGAGTTATCGAATTTTAAAGATAACATTTTAGAATTCAATCGATATCAATGTATAAACACCTCTCCATTTGCCTGAATCCTAATTTCTCAATATATTCCTATGAATGAAAATAGTCATATAATTAATCTAATCATGGGGATAATAATTTATTTTAAAATTCCTTCATCATTTTTACGTAAAATTCCGTTATGGTCGCACCTTTTCTTTTTTCTCAATTTCTTTTTTCGCTTATGATTCGATTCGTCGATTCTACTACAAAATGCAAAAAATTGTATTTTCCGGTGAGGAATTTAATTCCAGGTAAAATATAGTTCGACTCTCTGAATTCACTTCCTCTGCAGCCCCATGCATACGACTATGACGGAAGTCTATTGTAGTTGGATGAAAAAAATATTTCAATGGTGTTGAATCTGAATTTTTCAACGAATTTCGACGGAACTGCTATTTTAATGAATTAGCGTTTGATCTGGGAACATAAAAAACAAGAAGGGAAATTTTTGGGCAATTCAAAATTCTTCTGGAGTACTTGTAAGACGTCATTGGAAAGTATATAATAATCTTGAAGGCAAGTGGGTGGGATATCGAGGGCTTTTTTGTGAAGGCAATTTCACGGAAGAAAGGGGCGTTGATTGCTTCGTGGAATCACTCGTTATCAAGATCATTTTGTGTCAGTTACGAGGGGGAAATTGGCTCGTCATTCTCCGTGAATATCCTGCAATTGTTTGCCTTGATTAAAAAAACAACCATAATTCTCTAGTGTTTTCAATTTTTCAATTTTACTGGAAAAATAGATAAAAACATTTAAGTTTCCACCGTTATTAAGCTTATCACGTAGATCTGTTTACGTACTCGTACACTATTCAATGAATCATTGTTGAATAAATTCATTATATGTGATATTAATAAACTTAGTAAGTCTGTTTTGCATTTATAAACGTAAGGCGAATGAAGTCCAAAGCAAAACCATCTAGTTATAGGTAGCAACTTCACACATTTCCCTCGTGTTCATTAATATGATTAATATTGCTAGTCCTCTTTCGAGATAATCTCGTAGTGCATTCAAAACTTATTTTGGTTTACGATGTAAATGCATAGGGCTCAGGAGATCATTTTGGTATAGTCTGTCACTCGAGCACCAGGGAAGCACTTGCGTAGCTCACTGAACTGTCGTACATGTTTTCGCATTGACTGCTTTGAGCATATTTCAGGAATTTCAGATTCATTCTTTGATCGTTGCAGTTTTCCTTGAAGCTCTGGATTGCCTGGAGTGACAAGAGCTCATTAATCCAAGTCCAAATGAATTTTATTCGTAAGTTAGTCTTTACCTGAAGTAAAACGCCAATGGGATGACGTCCACAGATTGTATTCCCATATTTTTTTAAATATTCAGTAAAAGAGGAGGGATTCAACGTCTCTATAATATCCATTCCCTACATAATAAAAATAAAAAATAAATGCATCAATCAAAAAGAAATTTAAGTGATTGAGAGCTCGGTTCTAATCAATTGGTGGAATTTTAATAATCACCATTTTATCGAGAGCTTGGATGGACCTGTAGATGGGACCGTTGGAGCGGTCGTAGTACGTGTACCGAAATCTCTGCCCCCAGTGACAAAAATCCGAGGAGATTATGAAGAGATTTTGGGGATCCGCTATATAAGGAGCTAACAAACGTCCATAAATCGCTTCTTTCTCCCACGATAACGATCCAACGAGAATTGGAATTATGGTGAACGCGGTCTTGAAGCTGGAAATCAAGAATAATAATTCATTACAGAGTATTAATTCGGTGGTGAAGCGATAAACCGATTCGAGCCCATTTAATTCTTCAGTGTTTTTTGGAAAATTTCTCGAAACTAGAAGAAATATTGAATTTTTTGTAATGACCTTTTTTAAAAAAAAAACAAATTTAGAAATCTTCCTTAGATTTCGAAATTTTTAATAAAAACGTACTTCTCCATGACTTTCGCGATAAATGGCAGTTGCATCTCGATGCTGTGCTCGTCCTCATCTGTATTCATGTTCATCCATTCGAACTGTCCTGTTTCCTTGAGCTCTCGACACACTGCAAAGCCGAGAAAATTATAATACATGAATGATTTTAGAAAAATGAAGCAATTTCTCACGAATTATCGATTTATTCAATTTTGTGTCAACGTAAAATAGTGACGAGGCAGTTTTCTCGATTAATGGTAGGCCGCACACGTAAATATTTACAAAAAAAAAATAGTGTACCTTCCTGATCAATCGTGAGATCGTACAAGGGCGTTTGATACGTTGTCGCTGATGACAGAGCACATCCTCGTAACCGTACATGATGAGATGGCCCCAGAATAAATATTCTACGTCTAAAAAATCATGACTCGTGAATTCGGTACTCAATTGGCTAAGAGTAACAAGTCGATTTGGCTAGTGGATGACTTTCTAAAGAATATCTCTGAATCTAAGAGAGATGGAGAATTTTCTGTGAGGACTTTTATGTGGCTCTCAATCCACTCTGCAAAAAATGTTCTACGAGAAATTTCATTATTACCCTTAGATTCAGAGATAGAGACTTCGTGTTTATTCTGCCCTATTCTGAGGATAACGCTTCATAGATTGAGAGGAAATGATGATCTTACACAACGATTGGACTAATCTGTCGATAGGCGAATCCTGCACATCCCCCGCAGTAGCTGTACCCAGCGTGTCTAAAAAAAAAACAATAATAATCTCCATTTCACCCAATTTCTTGTAATTGTCAAAGATTGAATGCCTCTCCAATAAAATGATTGTTTTTTTTTTAGTGTATGTCACAGTTGAATGCCAATCGATCGAAAACCATTCATTTTCGGGGAAAATATTTCGTGTTTCCATCTCGGAACGATTGGTTGCAAAATAAAATAAATAAATTTGGCATAAATCCAACGAAATTGCTCAATCAAGCGACATAAATAGTAATTAAAAACAATAAATTCAATAAACTGATTCTAACGGGGCAATAATCGCCCTGGCAGGTCCATGAGACAAATCAGCAGCATTGAGCCAGTCTTCAAGTTGCTTATTCAATTCATATCCTGAAACAGGAATAATGGAAATTATTAGAGCACACTATATCGATCCCCGGGTTATTATAAACATCCCCGCCAACGCAACAATCGATATTTCCCGCTTTATTGCTTCTTTGTTACAACGTCTATTTCCAATATTATTATGACGAATAACGATTTAATGAGTGATAAAATATCGAAATTTTCACATTTGAGTAAAAAATTCAAGGCCACTCTGACCAATTATCGCTGATAATTCCAAAAATTTTGAATACAAGTTGATGAATTATTGAACGGTCAAATAATAATGAGAGGTAATTGGTGATTAACAAGTACGAGTAATTACCAGAATCAGTGTACCAAGTGCCGGCATGCGTGGCTCTTCTAGTAGATACCATTATTTTTGTTTCGTCTGGAGATGAGGAACAATGACCCTTGGAGAGGTAGTATCAGGTGTAAATATCTCGTGTCTATGTCAGCTCAAAAAAAATCTCACACCACCCGGGGGAGAAAAAATACAGGGGAAGAGGACAAGGAGGATTTTCTCTTCAGACACTGGGTTACTGGTTATTTGCGAAATGTTTTTTTTTCTCGCAATTGGGCGACTGTTGAGTGGTTTTTGCTGAATGATGACACAAAAGAGGATTGACTAAAGTAGAAGCTCAGTTCTGCAAGTTTGAGTGACCCCAACGGCATTGTAGTCACTCACCCCAAGAGAGAGAGGGCACCACACCCAATTGTGGGGGGTCTGCCCGTCAGTCGACTCGGTAATTGCTTCTGTAGCAGTCCCGCTGTCAGAGGGACCAGTCGACGGGGTGAATTTTATTTTCTGAAAATTTTAAATTTTTCAATTTCAGTGAATAGCTCCTCGATTTTCATGCTCCCCTGATACTTTTCGAAAAATTTCCAATTTTTTATTTTCAGTGAATACCGCCTCCATTTTCATGCTCCCCTGATACTTTTTTGAAAATTTCCAATTTTTCAATTTCAGTGAATACCTCCTCGAAAACCTACACCTTCTCCTTCAAAAAAAATTCACCAATCTCGCAATAATGGGAATTCTCGGGAGAAGTGAACAGATCTGAGTTTCAGATCGACCGCAGATCTGAAATAAGGGAGAATTAGCCCTCGGGGCGTGATTTTTTATTTTTTTCACTTTTTGACCAAATGGCACCTGGGAAATTTCCAAAAAAAATTCACCATTCACGCAATAATGAAAATTCCTGGAAAAGGTGAATGGATCTGGGTTACGGAGGCCCCCGCGATTCATAATAAGCGTGGACTAGCCCTCGGGGCGTGATTTTTAATTTTTTTCACTTTTGGACCAAATGGCACTTGGAAAATTTCCAAAAAAAATTCACCATTCACGCAATAAT